AATGGCGGCCCAATTTATAATTTTGAAAAGATCATAACTCTTCTATCTTACCTTCTACGGCTTTATATGTGGCTTAGACGAGCTTTCCTTCACTGAGTGATTCTCCTGGTACCTTTACAGTGGACTAAAATGCAGCAGAAGCAATTCTGGAGAAAAGGCCCAAATTTAAATTTCAGTTCAGACATTTCCTTCTTTCAACTTCGTCTATCAACACTGAAATCTCTTAAACTAGAGAGCCTCTTGTCATGGCTTTTACAGTATTCCTTTGTGCTTGGGTCAAGGACAACAAATGACCTTTTAATATCTCTGACTTTTATCGTTGAAACTTGTTATTTGGGCATGATCAAACACACCCCTCTCTTACAGACGCCACATAAACATCAAATGCGCATGCACAAAGTTGCCATTACTGCTGTCTAGTCTTAGTGTCGCTCAATTCTTCTCTTGGTCTTTGCACTTTGCTGCTACTTGCAAGGAGTGCGCACTGCTCAGACTAAGAGATCACTGGTTCTCTTAAGAGCTAATAGGTTAGATAGTTGTAGATCTACAATATAACATTGTAAGCTTCATTATTAATTTAGAGTGAAATTACTGGTTAGTGGTAACAGCTGCTCCGCATTAGCTATAAATATTTAAGTTTCTGTTGATCAGCTACTATTGAAGAATTTTGCTGTATTCTTGATGCTACTGCTGTGTGGATATATTAAGATAAGTGTTATACAATGAAAAGTAGTAGCAGAATTTATGATGTGCATCCTGCATATTTGTTGCTATGGTACATGTACTTCTGGTTTCAGTGTTAGCAGTAATTTTTGTAGTGATAGTTGTACAGAAAGGAATTAAGAAAAGAAAAAGAAACTTAACTGGTGCAAAATCTAAAAGAAGAAATGCAAAAAATTATTTAAATAGAAAGCAAATGGAAGATTCTATTGATCTGAATAAATCAAATACCAGAGCATACTTCATAGGGCAATGTAACGGAGTCAAAAGTAAAGCAAGAATTGAATATGAAATAAGTAAAAAATATAATCTTGCTTATTCAAGGAAATACAATGCATTGAACCCACATTATGTTAAAGAAAAGTTTAAAAATTGGTATTACAAAAACAAAAATATCAAAATTATAAATTTCTTCTGAATATTCACAAAAAAATGTATTCCCAAAACCCATTAAAAAGAAAAATGATGTCTAACAAATGTTATTAGCAAAATCCAGGGCTATGAAAAAAACTCTTAGAAACTGTATTATGAGAATAGAGATGCAATATTGCGTGTGACGAATAACAAATTCTTCTAGTATCAACTGTCTGATAAAGAAATGGATCAATTAAAAATGGCACTAAGTAAGGAAAATAAGAAGCAGCTAGCATAGCAACACATGTGCTTGGAAGATATATTTGGAACTGATAAATAGTTTGGATCCAAAAATATTGTATTTGTAGGTGACCTTTTACAAACGCCACAAGTTAATGGTATACCAGTATTTTAAAAAAAATAGCAACAAACTAGTAAAACATAGACTTTGAGCAGCAAATGCAGTTAACATATGAAAAGAAAGAATAGAATTTGATGAACTAACAATCAATGAGCGACAAAAAGGAGAAAAAACATTCTGAAGACGCTTGATTCTGATAGGCATAGCTGTCTGACTGATGAAATTATTGATTCGCTTAAGAGTCGTGTATTTAAAATTTCAATACAAAAATTATAAAGAATTGGGAAGTGAAGGAACAAATCCACCAATTTGCCTATTTTCTCTAGTAGACGCCTGCCGAATTATCAATGAATTAATGTTAGAAAATCTAGAAACTGAGAAAATAGAATTAGCATGTGTTTGATGTTATTGATGTAAGTGTCAGCACAGCAAAATTTGACAAATGCAAGTAAATGTACCTATTTTAACATTAGAGCACAGAGAGGCAATGCTTAATGTAGATCAAAAAAGAATTTTTTATAAAATTAAGAGTCATCTTAAAGGTCTAAAAGAACGTGAAGACTTATTATAGAATGAGTCTTAAAGACTACTCAGATTGGATAATATCAAACCGCTAAGAATAATTATTAGTGGTGCAGGTGGAACTGGTAAATCATTTTTAATAGTGGCAAAAAAATGCCTATTAGATGACATATGGCATCCAAAAAGTGGTGAAATTATGTGTGCCATAGTAGCACCAACAGGTATAGCTGCATTTAATGTAGGTGGACTAACAATACATAAGATTATTTCAGCTACCAATAGAGCATGAGGGAATGACTGCTAGATATTGGGCATTGAGTAAAGAAGCTCAGAAAAGGATAAAAATGACATTTAAAAATTTAAAAATTATAATAGTAGACGAGGTATCTATGGTATCCAATTTAAATCTAGCATACTTACACATGCGCTTTGAAGATATACCGTATAGCCGGTTAATTTCGTATCGCTTCAAATTTTCGTAATGATAGACAAAAATGAAAATTAGATTTATTAATATTAATGATCAATGAATAATTAATTTTTATTGTTATTATAACCACTTAATAAAATACCACAAGCACACAGCCACACACTTCAGCTGCAGCTGCACAGTGCACATTCAACTACTTCTCTAACACTCAAGTGAGCTCTCCAGTCAAGACATTAAGTGAGTCAGGAACTGTCAGGCTATCTATTCTCAAATGAAGATGACCTTGGAACGTGCGTCAGTTACACCTTGCCAATTGTCCACAATCAGCATAAGTGCCATCAGTGGCTAAAGCCTCTGCAAACAGAGAAGTAAGAAGACTGATGGCTGACTAAGTTACTTCTATTGAGAAGAAGAGAGGAAAATATAGAAAATATGCCCCTGAAGAAAGCTGAAGTAGTTTGCTATGCAGTGGTTCATGGTATTACAGCTGCAAAAAAGAAATTTTCAGCATCAATGGGAATTAAATTAGATGCAGTACCATACAGGGGATAACAGATACTTATAATAAAGGAACTAGCCAATAGAAAGCATGCTAATGAAGCACCATCATCTTCAAGTGCCGCTATCACTATATTACATGGAATAAAAGAGGAAGACCAGTCATGCTAGGTGATGCTATTGACTCTGATCATTCAAAAGTACACAAAAACATAAAAGATTAAAAAAAAGTTAAGTAGGATTCCGAACGACCAATGAAAATACAAAATGAGAATCCTACTCCTGACGCAAATTCTACTCTATATTGTACTTTCAATGTCATTATGTAACAGTTACAGATCACCTTACAATGTAGAGTAGAATTTGCATCACGAGTAGGATTTTCATTTCGTATTTTTGTTGGTCGTTCAAAATCCTACTTAACCTTTTTTTAAATTATTTATGTTCCTGTTTGTGTTAATTTTTTAACAATATTTACGATGTTGCCATTGTGATGCTTGTTGATTTTACACAAACAATTTTCTTTTTTATTATTATCATTGTTATGACTTTACATCATTAATGAGAGACAGCATTGAATATACTTGCTGAAGGAATGTCAACTATTCTGATGACAATTGAAATTAATAATAGTCTTGACACAGGTCCTTGTTCAAAAAGCTGTGAGCTGAGAGTGTCCATCTTCCCTGCAATGTTGCAGCTATTCCTGTTCTTCCAGGCTGTTGTCATTCATATTATCATTGCACATCATAACATTAATTAATTGTTTGTTCTTTTTAATAAAATAAAATTACACACTTGATAAAACAGTAACATGTAAGATTAATACCTTCTATTAGCTGGAAACCTCCACTAAGTTATTGCAGTAGTTGATTCTAAGCATAGCTTGGAAAAAAATTAATTGCTTCTTCCAGGGTTGCAGATCTGAGCATACGCGACCACACCCAAATTTTGGAGCACATGGCATGCTTCTTTAATTAACAAAATGGTGGCATGCAGCTATGATGGCTCTATCCAGCAGTCACAGTATCACTTTTTCTTTACTTGAAGAATGATCTGATGGGATATGGATCTGCGCAGCCATTTGGAGTAGAGTGGTGTAAGAACTAGTCTTGTAGCACCAACCAATTTTGAGAAACTGGACTAACTTTCTTGATGATGATGATGATGATGAAGATAAAAAAGGTGGCTGAACTGATTCGCCAAATTTTGAATTTCCTCTTCTACAAGGTTTAGAGACATGCTAGTGACACCATTGGAGTCCTCTGGTCGAGATAAGGTCCTCTAAGAAGTCTGGTAAGCATGGGAGCTTGTTTTCCCAGTTTAGCAAGGCTGCAAAAGTCGTGGCAGCCATTCCGTTTGGGGGTAAATCCTACTTAGTCATGATACCGCATTACTAATAGTGAAGTTGAGAGAAAAAGGAAGTGTTATTACACTGCACTTGTGATAGCTGCTGCCACTGGTATTGTTAAGCCTATAGACAAAATACTCCTTGCTGAATGTGGTCGCCATTTGTCTTTCACTGTGTCGGGGGCAAAATCACTTCTGAACAGAATGAAGTTTAATAAGCGTCGAGGAACAACCAAGACTGAAATATCAGAAAAAGATTTTAGAAAGGTGAAGCAGCACTTTTTGCAAGATATTATTGACATGGTTCAAATGGAAGACATTCCATTGGAACTGATTAACTACCTGGGGGAGAAGCCCCCACGTCGTTCCTATAATTGAATTTACTGTTGCGCTATGTATTTATATATATTTATTTGTATGTCCACACTTATATTTCTTCTATACACGTATTGGAAAAATAACAAGCCTTAGCAACCACCCGCCCACACTCCTTTACGTGAGTGGGTGTGGTCACGGCAAACAAAATGGCAGCTTTCACATGGGACAAAGTTAAGAGCTTTCTTACAGCAAGAGTGCATAGAGATACTGTCTAACGACTTCTCTAGAAGCATTAGATGGTAGAAAGAACCTTTATTAGTCTTAATAAGAATTCAGCTGTACTTGCAAGGTGGTGAAATCAATAATAGGAATATATTTTACCCTGTTACGCTTGTTTTTAAAAGGGATCAGACTGGGTTGAACTTAGTTCCAGCCTCCAGTTGAACAATGGCAGATAAGGGATCAATACGTGTTGAGATTAATGGTTTAAATGATAAACACAAGATCACTGCAGTATTTTGTGGAACAATTTTTGGAGATTTCTTACCAATGCAGCTTATGTATTGTGGAAAAACACGCAGATGTCATCCTGCCTTTTGTTTTCAAGAAGACTGGCATATTACACACTCAAGCAACCATGGGTCTAATGAGAGCACAATGTTGGATTATATACACAATATCATTGTACCATACGTAGAAAATATTAGGGATCGTTTAGGTGTCAGCAGAGAAAAGAGTGCATTGGCAATTATTGACCAATTTAAAAGTCAAATAACTCAAGCTATTACCCAAGCTCTAGAAGAGAATAAAATTCATTCTGTCCTAGTACCAGCTACATGTACTGACAGGTTGCAACCATTAGATTTGTCAATCAACAAGAGTGCTAAGAATTTTTTAAGACAGGCATTCGAAAAATGGTATGGTCATGAGATCACTAGACAGCTTACAACACTTGATAGCAATGACTAGGAGTTTGAACTATCAGTAAATGACTTGCCAGCTGCGCAAATGAAAAATGTTGGAGCATAAGGTTGGTGCAGCTGGACATGTTTTTGAGAGCTAATCCTTGTATTATAGTAAATGGGTTTCATGTAAGTTGAATACCACAATCTATTGATTCAGGCACACCTTACCTTAGTGAAGAGTCTTCCATTGATTTTGAAAGCAGTGATGATATTAGTGATTTAGTTGATCATAATCTGATGAGTAATACAGAATCTACAGAGCCTCTTATTGACTGATTATGATAGTGACCATGGTTCTGAGAATGAAGCTAGCAACATAACGAATGACAGTATAATAATTGACTAACTCAGTTATAATTGAGTGAAATAATATTATAAGTCATGAGTAAGATAATAGTAGCTACTATTTTTGTATTATACAAAAAATATAGTTAATAATAGTCTCGCTAGCCAAGCCATTCCTCAACCAACAGTCAAAATTTTGGTGGACTGTTTGCTGGGGAATGGCCTGCCAACCTAAAGCAGTTTATATTACACGTTCTTCAATGAGTAGTTTACATGTCATGATATCTGCATGATTTCCACTCAAGACTAGGTTGCAAGGAATTTCTAGCCTTCCTTGTGGAAGATCTGATAAGATCTGATATGATCTGTCACCTGTCATTATGCATTTGATCGAACCACCACGTCTTATTAACAAAGAGCAAGCATGAGCTATTTTTTGTGGTAGGTGACCAACTACTGTAGTGTTTCTAGGTTTTGTGACACAAACAGCATACACAGGAAATGGAGAGCTGTTAGACAGCACCGTCTTGTAAGGAAATTTAAGCCCGTTGGAGGCTTCTAAACGTAGTAACATGGGAGATACGGGACTCTTCATAGCCGGTATTATCCTTCGTACGTATTGGCACAAAGTACGGACGGGAAATAGACGGCACCACACCTAGACTAGGCTCCGTATATGCTTCGAGACGGTCAATCATAATTAATAATAATAATAACATTTTTATTAATCTCAATATTAATAATAATAGTATAGTTGTGTTAGAGCTCTTCTTCAGGACTCCACTCATCATAACTTTCAGGAAACAAAGCTCTTTTCTTAGAATTGATTAATACAGACTTTGGCGTATTATTAAGTGTTTTGTTGCCTACACAAGATAGCGAACAAGAATTACAATAATTATAGCTCAATAAAACAAAAAAATACTTGATTCTGTACTTGATTGTGTAGGAGTGATAAATTCTTCTTCATGGAAATCTAAAATAATGATAATAAGCAAATTAAAACAACATAATATAATATACCTGATCTCTCAACATATGAAGAAAGTGCATTACTTGATGGTGCTATAAAAATAATGTAAGTATACATGTACAGATCTAAATTATCAAACTTTGTGGCTGGGACAAAACAATCTGAGATAAATGTACTCTACTTTGATGATTGACTTCTATAATGTTACTACAATAACATTAGAAACATAAATTCAGTACCATTTCTTGATTTGACAGCCCAATTTGGTGCATCCATGGGAGAATCTGTGTTTACTGAATTACTTTTTATTCGTCTATGACGAATAAAGCCTGTCCTTTGCTTTGATAAGGATTTATTCCTTTCAATACGTCCTTCTAGTTTATTAATTAAGCTATTTAAAGCTATAGCAAAAAATGAAATACTTGAAAGAGAAAAATTACCATCTGATCTCCATGATAACGTATGCACCTTGTAAACTACACCCCCATCATCATCATCATCATCAGAGCTCTCCAATGACAAGTACTGGTAACTAATTTGCTTCCAATAGTCTCTTTCCTTTCCTTTAAGGACAGTTTCATGTCTATTATATAGCTTTA